AGGCTACATCCGCGCTGGATACGCATACTGAGCGTGCGATCCAACGATGTTTGGAAGAGCTGTGTGCCAGTCGAACGGGAGTCGTCGTCGCCCATCGATTGAGTACTGTAGTGAACGTTGACTGTATTATGGTACTGCAGAATGGTCGAATAGTGGAACGAGGACGGTAAGTTATCCGTTCATCACTGCCTAACTTGTGCACTGTTTGCGCCATGAGTATGGCCACTCTATGAAAGGAGAATTCCTCCCCAGAATTAAACCCATGAAACAGAAAAACTTCAGTCATTATTTACTACTAGTTGGCATGAAAAACTGGTTTTTATCCAGTATGAACCCTCTTGGCACGAATAACAGTCTTCATACCATTGGGAAAAGACTCCATGGCAGACTGTGGGGTGCGTATTCCATTGAGGTTTATTCATGAGCCTGACATTAGCGATCGAGGCAGCAACAACTTTTTTCGATAATTAAAGCTTACTTTGCGCCCAAGAATGTAATCCAACGAGGTACTGGGTACTGGAAGATCCCTTGGAGCTGCCTTGCAAATTCATCCATGCTTTTTGGTTCCTCTGAACTCCACGGTGATTTGCCGCAGTTACTTAGTTCTCTTGTTAACTCTTAGGCATATTTTGACTGGTCGTGTAATTTTGGCTTACGATGCGGCGTCGCATAGACTTGTCGCTCGCGGCGCGCGGTGCATTTGAACACGTTCGTTCCTTTAATTCTCCGCCAAATATACCGCGCGACACTCCGCAGATTCGCGCGACGCCGCGACATGACCTAACGCTACAGGTTATTTCGGCATGCTTTTTCGTTTCACTTTTATAAAAAAGAAACATGTATTCTCGTTGCAGACATGCGGAACTGTTGGCGGCGAAGGGAGTCTACTATCAAATGTGGGAAAGTCAGAACTCTAATAACAGTGAAGAGTCAAATGCTTGAGTGATTTGTTCTTAAAATGGAATAACTGAACGCAAACGTAGTTCGAGGGACCACACAGCAGCGCTGCTATATCTGGTGAAATGGCGGTATTATACGTTTCCCGCCGAATTGTCTTCTCCGCTAACGACCCCCTCCCATCCTCATTCCGTTCACTCCTTCATAAGTCAGCTACCAACTGTCATCTTTTTCTCACTGTTTGCCTTGAACGGCGTGCGCGCGTTGTATTTCTCTACCAACCACCAGATAAATTGAATTGCGACTCCAAGCCGACGGGTAAAAGGTTGACTCGCGCGTAAAAAAGGAAAAGTCCAATAAGTCGCAGAAAGAACTTTTCTTGGGGACCTAAATGGATTCCACTAGCTATTATCACCAAATTCGAGCAGCGAATATCGCCAGTTGTTGGTTTCGCCCACATCGTGTAGCTGTGTCTGCAAGACTGTCGGGCCGTTGCAGTGGTGTGCGCTCTACAAATCTTGAACATTTGTTAAGAGAAGGGGGAGGGGGCGTCGGCGCGCTGCCGCGGATCCCCCTGACCGAACTAACTTTGCGCCAGTGATTGTGGTCCTTTCTTTATCTACTTTCAACTCAACCCCATTTATTCAGGGTGTTCAGGGTGTTTTCTTCTGAAAGCTCTTTGTTTCCTCTTGATAAAATGAATTGGTGTTCCTTCACAAAGATCGTGTCGTAGTCCTGTCGTCGTGCACCGTTCGCCGGTGAAACGGCCACAAGTTGACTCTGATATTATGTGTTTGAAGAATTGTGATTGTATCCGTGTACAGTTTGCAGGTGACATCAGTTGTTGATCTTCTAGTTATTCAGGCTTTCAAGCCATTTGTATTGTCTGTTATTGTTTGTATGTAGAAAACTGTAGCATACAACAATGTTGTGAAAATAAATATTTGTGCGAGTAGCTGAGACTTCGTTATAAATATATATGATATTCTTCAGTTCATATATGGTTAAAAGCTAGGCGACCATAAAGTATGCTCAGTGTAAAAAAAAAAAAAAAAAAAAATAAAATAATAAAAAAAAAAAACTACAGATTGTGTTGAGAGGTATGTGACAAGAGAACGTAATTTTTTCTTGCGCTGTGGTGGCATTGCGTGCGACGTCGCCGCCCGAAATGACATGGCTACAGTAAGTAGTATAGATGGCGACAAACATGGCGGATTCAACAATCGAAAATAGTCATGAATGTCCTGACGATGACGGGTCTCATAAAGTCCGGTGCTCCAAATCTGACAGGAAAAAAAAAACGCCTAAGCGCCCGATGCGCACGTCTCGCGTAGGCGCCAAATTACGATTCTCTGAGCGTCTCCCCATTGGAACTGGCCCAGCGTCTTAGTTGCACGTCTTCAAGAATCAACGCCGATCCGCAGCTATTAATTTCCTCAATGGTGCGCCGTGCACCGCTCGGTTGCTTATACCATATGGTCGTAAGATTCTAGGCATTTCCTGGCATTTCCCAGTGGGGCTGGTTTTGGCGTGCTATGTGCTCGCTTTCCAGCAATCGTTTGGCTTGTAGGGTTCAGCATTTGGTGGAGATCGAGCTGGCGCGGCCAGAGCGGAAACTCTAACCCCTCCCCTGACATTGCCCGATCTTCAAAAACGGCTGTATAGAAGACTGATGGAAATTTTTGATTTGGTTGACAAGATTTCTGTTTTCCTGCTCAACTCTTGTGTCAACTCGCAGCTCGGGAGCGTCACCAACTCGCAGCTCGGGAGGCATGGGCCAGGTCTCGTGTACGGGCTCGGATTCCCTTACGGGCAGTGTGGCCCCCGTACCACCGGAACTAACTTAGCTGTGGTTTGCATTATACTGCCTGAGTGCCTTACACTGGCACTGCAAGTCATTATGAGGGCATAATCGGAGTTCTAGTGTGTCCTCAGTTTCAATGGATATAGAGTTCGTGGCTTATCCTGGAGGACTCATTATCGTGCGCGTGAGCCGCGCAGTTCTTGTGGTGTACCATCAGCGCACGAAGACCTTTGATTCGTTGGACCAAAGGGTACACGACCGCACTTCCGACCATCTTCGTGGTAAACATAAAAGTTTGTTGAAGTAAAATCGTTTATTTGCTGCCATTTGCAATTTCCTTATTACAAGAATATATGTACAGTTCGTACATTTCATTTCCTGAATGGCCTGATAGTGAAGCGAGGTGGTGTGGGCGGAGGTCTCGTTGGTAGCGGGGTGAGCGGAGGTCTTGTAGGCAGCACTGTGAAAGGAGGTCGTGTAGGAGGCCGTGGTGTGAATGGAGGCGGCGTGAAGATAGGAATGGGTGATCTGCAGGCAGCAACTGGACAACTGAAACAGATCAATCTCGGATCGAGTTCATATTTGTTTTATAAATAAAATATCATTATAAAAATAAAAAGGAAACGGACCATGCAGATGCACTGTTGACGAGAGCGCATCGGCTGGCGAACGGACAAGATACGCGGCATGTAGTGTCACATTCTAAATGGAGAACATTTGAATTTCATAATATAAATGGCCCCTAAACTAGAATGTGATTTGGCTAACCGTTCTGAACGCACTGGGCTCGAGGGGTGCATCCAACGCAGTTGGTTGGTTCTACCAGCGCACATTTGGTGCCTTGTCGACAGAAAATGTTACATGGCCCGGGGAACACTGGAAATAAGGAGTAAATTCGATGGGCAGACCCTGAGAGATACTTGAGATCGCCTTGATCTACCAGAAAATAAAGTGCTCACATCAGTCAGTAGAAAAGAACATTTGCGTAGCGAACTTACGTTGCTGATTAGTCGCTTGAAGAGCCTGGCCTACGTTGAGAAGAGCCAGGAACAGCAAGGAAGACTGTAAAGACGTAGATTAAGTGATTCGTTTGGAATTCGATTGTGATAACACTTGAGCCTGAAGGAGCGCGATCCCACCAGCGATGATTTATGGCTGAATGCTTGGTATGAGTGTCCCAGTCATTTTTATACCCAATGATGTGCCGGGAATAAAACTGAGCCGCTCATGGTGCGTAGCATAATACAGCGTTTTAGCCAAAGCATCATTCTCAAGGTCACTATTTTCTAAAGTGCTCGGTTCCGACACCAGCCTTCGATCGCTTCACATAACAGTAGGGAGTTTAGAAATTGCCCAGAAGGTGATGGATTTAGATATGACTTCGCAGACGTGACACCGCGACAATTTAGCTGCAGCGTTCAAAATGCTGTATACGGTCCGTAGATGCCCGCCGAGAGATTGAAATTCCTCCTTTTACCAACATCGAATAGAAAAATCAGCGTAGTTCCTATGCCATTATGACCAAAATCGGACTCGAGGGGGGGGGGGGTGGCGAACGCTCCTCAGTTGTGATTGGGAGGTCGCAAGTGGTGTGTCGCGCGCGACATGCGCTCCACAGGACTCACCTCAGTGGAACCACCTAGCCCGCGGTAATCTAATTCAAGTGCTTCTGCAATTCGACCTTCCGGCCTGCACCACCAAAATTCATAGCAGAAGACAACCCCCTGCTCTATTTCTTTATGAGTGCGCTTTTGGATCAATCTATTGACATTCACACGACTTTGGTAGGTAAGCATCACGAGAATGAGTTGAGGTAATCATAGAGTCTTCTTGGATTAGTTCCAACTATATCAGGGTGGTCGCTTTGTATGGCGTACCAGCAAAACTTCACTGAATATGGAGGATCTTGCTCCTTATGCTCCTACGTCTCACTAATCTTTTATTAAAATTAGGTTCACTCACAGCAAACGACAGCATTCCGGAATGATCTGAAATGGTTAACCAGTATCAAACTGAATTCGTGTGCTATTGAAAAAGAAAAAGCAGAGACACCCGTTTATCTATGAGCAATTGTCATTTGAGGGCAGGAGTGGGGCAGTGGCTTGATGCGCTGCTTCGGTGATTGTATCCGGCTTGGCTCATGCTTATGAATAAGTTTCCGATATCATAGCGCGGGTCCATTTCTTAGTTCATTCACCCCGACCGATCTAAGTTCGTCCCCCCCTCTCCCCCTCAACGGGCTGTATGTCAGGATTTGATGCATTTTTCGTTGCAGCGGTTCATTGTGCGTGATATGTAATTTAAGAGCCTGAGAAGGCATTATAAGCCTCGCCAATTAAGGTGTTAAACGAGTGAAGACTTCAAACAAACGTTCAAAGCCGCTCGGTAAGAAAGAACGCACCCCATTGAGACATAAACGCAAAGTACCACAATTCCCTGGAAGCCGTAACTTGTGAAATTATTTTGTACTGAGATTCTGAATCGCAGTCGTAAGTGTGCAGGACAAGAATGGCCTATCGCTTCAATCCAAGCACTTTTGAGGGTTGAACTCTATGCCCCTCCTCATCGCAGCGAAGGGAGGTTCTGTCTATCAAGGAATTATAGAATTAGGGTGAGTGCTATGGGTTCCGGACAAGATGGAAGGAGGACTGTGGAAGAAAGCTCTTCTGTGGAAGAAAAAGCTCGTAGATAAAATCACTACTAAGCATTTCTAAGTTATTTAATATATCCCGCGCGACATGCTATATGTGTAGTCAAGATCATACATGTAACTACCGCTGTTTTCGTTTTGTATCAGTAAACAGTATAAACGTTTATGCACATAAACGTCCGCTTAGCATCGCGTAATTTCCAGTATTCCATTTCTATTACTCAAAGGTTCCACCTCAATCAGTATTGGAATAATAATGAAGGATAAAGATCTCCGACGTTGATGACAATCCTTTTGCGGATGCGGCATCATTCTACTTACACTTCCATTCAAATCTTAGTGTCATTATTGAATGTGTAGTGGTAACAATGGCACAGCCGATGTAGCCAGTCAGTGTCCTTATCCGCCCAAAGCAGTGCTGTACCATACTTATCCGTTCTTCGGAGAATAGACGGCTTGGTGCCTGGGCGGACCTGCGGATTTGACCCGACAGGACCGGCGCGAGTTGGTAAGCGCCGCCACTTGTCACTATACGACCCCTTCTTGCCCACATACGTGAAATGTCTGAAAAACTGAAGGAAAAAAATTAATAAGCTCCCTGTGAGAAAAATAGAAAAAGTTTGGAGTTTTGCCCGCATGGCCCAGTGGAAAGTGGTAGAAAGAAACAAGGCAAGTGGCACTTCAAAGTGGAATACATACAGTACACTTATCTTTCTGGGTTCTGGTTCTAGCCATGTGTGAGGTGAATGGGAATAACTACTGGAGTCTTTTGCTAGCTAGTTCCAACTAGAACAGTGGGCATGGCGCATTCCGAGTGGGTTTGTCAACTTTGAGTCCTTCAGGGTATACAGCGTTGATTGACACTTCCCCTTTTTTAGATGAACTCCATTTTTCGTCGGTCCCGAGAAAAAAATGCTTGTTTTTTAATTGTATCAGTTGACTGTAAGATGCAACCTATCCGATGAAATGGTATAGGATTGCGATAAAGCGAGTGCTGAGTGATTAGGAAAAACTCCTCGAAACTCTACTTCACATGGCTTAATGACCAAATTGCTTGCGAAAAGAAAACTGGCAAGGTCTTTGGATACCTTTGCAGATCAACAATGATTCCCCAACTGGCTCAGTGGGTCTGTATTGAGAGGGAAAGGCTCTGCAGAGCCACCGATTCTTGACCACGTTCGGATCGCTGAGTCACTGTGTGCACCTGCAGATGCAGCTGATGCCCTCACAATACGGCATGGCGGTGTCAGGAGGCGCGGAATGAGCATACCGCTGGCGTTTTCTACCCCTGGTTGTTTTCTTCCTGAACCGGCCACAATTGGTAGAAAACTCAGCTGCGGGGCGTATCCCGCTCCACTTGACATCGCCCGTCGGATTGGATATCAGCTATGCAGTCGCAATCACTGAAGTCATTCGAGGTGTTCAGCACCGCGCGAGCTTTGGCTCGGCGCCAGTCCTTTTCCCTTCTTCACAGAATATCCGAAGCCGCAGCTATATGTCGCAACGGGCTGGTGCCACACGAAATCCGCACAGCGTTTCCATGCTCCGACTGACCCCACAAAAATAATTACTCTTTGCACTATATGGTTTCAGCTGAAAAATCATTTTTAACATAACAAACAATTCAAGGAAATAAAAATGAATAATGTAAAAGGATACTAATTAATATAACATTGCAAAAATAAGATAAAAATCAACCAAGTTGTTGCTAACGCGTAGCTTCAAATATGAACTATAATTATTGAACAGTTACATACACAACTGTATATTGAACAGTTACTACTTTTTCACAGAATCGCATCTACATGAACTAACAATAAGTAAGGGGCGTAGTTGAAGCTGAAGAGATCAGGGCCAATAATGATTGCATAGTTTTCTCTGACTGTTGAACGCCACAACAAAACCTCTGATTTGTTGAAACTCCACTTCGAATGTAAATCTGTAAAGCTGAAACAACTGAGAGCTGTACTGCTGTTGAAGTAGAAGATTGTTGAAGAGACCTTTATTCTTTATTTATACGTTATTAGGAGTTTCGTTATCACTGGGAATGTATCGCTTCCCTGAACGTTAGTTTGGGGTTGTTTCAGCTTCCGCGTTGAAAGGGAATGAAAATCTGCAGGCAGCAACCGGGCAACTGAAATTGATCAATTTCAGGTCATATGAGTCAAGAATACCGTCTTCACAAGATTTCTAGAAGGCACTGTTCTCAGAATCCTTTAGAAAACAAACCATAGACCCGTGTTCGTGAGAACACATCTGTTGAGGAATGGGCACGAAAGACGGCACGATGTGTCACATTCTGAATGAAGAGAACACTTAGAATTCATTCCATAAATGGTTAGTAAGGTAGAATGTGGTCCAATTCACCGTTCTGAACGCATTGGGGTCGAGCTGAGCATGTAAAGCAGTTGCGTGGCTCCACCAGCGCACATTTGAATCCCCGTTGGCAACGAATGTTACAAAATCCAGGGAAGAAACTGGCTGAAAACAAAAAGTGAGTTCGAAAGAGAGTTCCGAAGAGGACAACACCCTCCTTTCTGGAAGATTCTTCGAGCAATCATGATTTCTCTAGACTTTGGCGATTTTCGCCTAA